ACAAAAAATATTTTTCATATCTTTGGCTACAGAATGCACTGACGAGGCTTGTCAAATTTATTTTGGAAATCTTGCGCACATTTTGATTACGTATCACAAAATCACTCTTTTCCGAATATTCCTTGAATTCAGGTATTATTACATTATATTTCTGAGATACTTTTGATGGCAGCGAAGTTTCTGGATTTATCTTTCAACCGCCACCACAAACTTCGCTTTTGTTTTTCATTTTTGTTTACAACCTTGCGATACAATTACTACCATAGTTATTTGTCATGGTGTAGATAACCATAGGAGAGCTGAAAATTAAATGTGCTCACAAAGTGTGCTTTTCAGTGGTTACTGTTATAGCTATCTATCTTGTATAAATTTCGAAACTTCTATGAAAATATTACCATTTACATAATTCTAAAATGTTTTGAAAAATCACTTGATCATACAAATTTGAAAACATGAAAGTTAGTTCATGTTATCGAGCTACATCTACTTATAGACTTAGCAAATTTTATTTGAAGTGAAATTTTTTATGTTTTAAATGAAACATAAGTGCATGTTTTTTTCTTTCCTTAACTCTTTATGGTATTTTAAACTTAATGCGTATATAATGATATTTAAACATAATGCAGATACATGCTCGCCTTAAAATTTGTGTAAGTTAAATAAATGAGATAAAACTCATAAAAGTTTTCAATTTTGATTAACAGCATTCAATTTACTTAATAAAAGATAATTTCTCTTTTCTCATCACTACATAGACGTCTGTATTAAGGTTTTAGATTATCTCTAATGCAGAATATTCTCTTCTGTACGTTAGATATAAATTTAATATTCATTGTAATTTCTGTTTGAAAATATCCGAAGAGTTGTAATCACCATAAATCATTCAAGATTATTTCATTTCTGAATTCAAATTAAAGGCTATTGTAATGGCAGTAAGATTTTACAGGGAATGCAATTTTACTCTTAAGTTAAGCGCTTAATTCACATTTCTTCCATGGCAATTCCTTAGAAGTTTACATTATATCCCTTGGGTCTACATCACTTAATACAGTCTATATCTGAAGGTGAGTTGGGGTTGCTAAAGGAATGCTTTTCCCGAGGGATTAAAACATGAATTAAGACGGAGCTTTAACAATATCTTGTGTTTTGGTGTTAATCCTCTGCAGTAACTACAATCTGAAGATTAATGCAAAATTAAACTTATACGCTGGGGACATCCTAATGCACATCAGCTTCAAATGCACTTTGCAATTAATGAGTTCCGCAGCTCTTACATTCGTGTGTTTTAATCTGAATTGTAATTTTCACATTTTTAGAAATTAGAATTTACAAAACTCTTAGCGAATTCCGCTTACCAAAGTCTGCTCGTTAAACTTTTGCGAACATTCGCCCATACATTTTATATTTATAGAGAGATCAATATTTTTTCCAAAGCATAATGGTACAAAATAATTTTTCCTAGAATTAAAATGAAAGAAACATTACCAAAATTTTACCAAAAGTATCTTATGTGACTTCTTTTATTTATAAGAGCTTCAGAAATAAAACGAAAATTTCTTACCATACTTGCTCAGCATATTCTTCGTTTCCGAAGAACAACAGCGCACATTTTTAGAACTTCTTAGCTATAGATAGCTTACACAGACAAGGAAGGTAACGATGCATCAGATATCGCGAAAATAAAAATTCGCGAGAATCTGTTGTTCGACTCCCTCTCGAGAGTAGTCTATAATATTAGCTTAACCTCAACAGCGAAATTGGCGCGAAAAGTTGAAATATATTCGATCACTGAAATGTTCTGCACCATTTCATTAAAAAGGCTTGTGACAAAGTTTTTGTAATTTGTACCTGGTTAAATAAATTGCATTTAGCTAAGCTACGATCAACTGTAGTATAAATTCTTCAATTCTTTCATTAGTTTTGAAGTGAGACTTATCTAGCTGATTTGCAACGTCGTTGGAGATTCTATTCCACTTCCTATAAATTCTACCTTTGTTTGCCGTATCTGTATAACATCAACATAGAATAAGACAGGGATACATACTCTGTCCGTTGCTGATAATCATCTTATCACTTCCCTTTCCAATATCCTATATTCCCATTCCAGTATCCTATATAATAAATTTGGTTTGACCATTTCCGTTGTACATGAAGTGTGACTGATAGAGCTGTACTTCCTTGTATGAAGTCTGACTTTGACAATGACTAAATTAGCTCTTAAATTAGAAAATATAATAACTGAGTTACACTCGCAGAAATATAAACTATTATCTTTATAAACTTAGCAGTGGTGCCCCACTCTTATTTTTCGTGGTATAAAATTGTAAACCAATTTTGTAAAAGAGTTATTTAATTCCTTGTTCCCAGGAAACTGAATGCTAAATTATTTTTCTTCTGTTAGTTCATTAATTAGTTTACAAGCTTTAAATAAAAGATTATTTAAAAAATTTTTTTTTCTTACATTTTATTTACCTGCATACATTTTTCAGGTTGTTTATCGATATTGCACACTCTTCTAAAAGACAAACAATGCATATACTATCAAACAGATATAAGATATTTATAATGCATTTCTCCCGTCTTCTTGGCATGCCATCATGGTGTGATGATCTGCACGCTGGGCGCGTATTCCAGAGGTCTGCGATTTGATTCCCGGGGAAGGCGTTGCATATTTTTCATTTCTCCGACTTTTCCAAGTAAACTAATGACTCAATATTTTAACTGTGCAAAAGTTCTAACTCGATTTTAATTTCTTTTCTAAAATGTTTATTTCAATCTTCAAACATATTTTCTCGAAAACCTATTCTCGTAGATTTGGGATTCCGGCATGTCGACATTGTCTTTCTACACAGTTTTCATCAATGAACTCCCTTTTCGATTAAAAAAGTACTTTAAAAAAAACCTTAGGATATGCATTAGGTAATAAAAGAATAATTACAACTTACACTAACTAATTCAGTTTCTCTCTTTGCTTAGGTGAATCAATGTAATGTAAATATTTTTCGACTGTGTACAATGTACTATAAAGATTTAGAAATTAATCACAACTTTATTGCTGTAGACAGTAAATTTATAGAAGTTTTTTTTTTTTTTTTTTTTTTTTCTGAAGCTGATTTTTCAAAAACTATAGAAGGAATTGAATGCTTTTCCCTTTACTTGCTTTTCATAACTCAGAAAAGGCATTCTAAAGCCTATTTTATCCTCTTTTTAAAGAAGAACATTATCTATCCAATCTTTAAGAAAACAACAAAGCTTATGTACAGATTTTTTAATTTAAACTGTGGTCTTTAAGAGTAGTATAAGAGTAATCTCGAGCTCTTTAGTGAGTAAACACTTAAAAATACTTAGTTATCAAGAATTTTTTAGACTTATGTAAACACTCTTGATAACTTCTAAAAATGGCAACTTGTGGATAGTTTGTTTTTTACAAATATACACCAGCAATGGAATTCTTTATTTCTCACATCAAAATCGGGACTGTATTCAACTTTCCTAGATTTCAATGAATTTAGTGCTCACGATAGAAAATAACTGACTAAAAGTAGTCTTTTATACTAAAGTTTATTTGAAGACGAAAACTCATGCCTATAAATTAATTCTACTAGTAGACGTATGAAACGCTACGACATATAAAATTTCAAAATAAAATTTAGTAATTTTTACGAAATGATGAAACGCGATATAAATTTTGGAAGCAAATATGCAAACCTCATACTCACTGAGATATACTCCAAATGGCTGGACACTTACAACCTTAGTGCATTCGTCGAGAAAGCTCAAATGTATCTCCCATTATCCGTCTCATAAGTTTAAAATGTCGCCTTAGAGCAACAAGAAGCAATTGATTTATATCCTACACGCACGTGTAAAACGAAGTTCTGTTTCACTTTTGATTGAGTACAGCTCTGGGAATAGATCACTACTCCTCCAATCAACCACTAACCTCTCGAGAAGGCATTAGGGCATTCGCAGCCAAATTACTTTAAGTGCCCGCACAATCGACAGATCTGAGGGTCTCTCATCCCTCTTCCCAAACTTCAAACCTTTTAAGAAGACGTCAGGCTTGCGTAACCATTCCGCACAGACGCTACACAGAAATACAGAAAGGTTCAAGACTTTTATTTAAGAAAGGAATACTCAGTATTCGTAATTTGCATTACGAGTCGAAAGGAATTCAGTGCATTTAGAAGCACTATAATTTTAGGTGGATTTACAAGGTAGAAACAGGGTATATGAACCCCTAATTTTCACACAACTGGGAAACGTTGTCGAGAATAAAATAAAAAGGTTATTATTTAAAGTATTTAAATTATGTTTATTAATTTGATAACATGAGAAATCTGAAGTACTTTTGCTACTCATTAAACATATTCTTTCGTAAAGATTTACTCACATTATTTACTCTGTTTTCTCTGCATTTGATTGCACTTGCGCTTCATTTTATTGCTGAAAATATCTTGCCAGCACGTGCAAATATCTACGCTTTACATTTGTAAAGAGATTAGGCTTTTAAACCTGTGTGGGAAAGGAGCCTATTGTTCAAGGAATTAAGTTTTAAAATAAACCGCCTTTCAGAATTTAATATTTATCAGTTTCTAAAACGCTTTAGGGTTAAGAATAATTTAAGAAATATGAAAATTTAAAAAATTTTTATTTATTATTCTTTCGTAATTTTGGGAAGCTTTCACGTTTTAAGATTTCATATGGAGATGATGTTTGATATATATCCCTTAAAATACTTGAAATTCACAGCTTACCTGTCCAATTTTAACTTTACATTTTGCTAATTATAGCACTATTTAGAATTCAATGTATTTAAGTAAAATTCATTACGCAAACTTCAAACCTTTCAAATTAGCATTACTGGCATAAAGCTTCAAATGCATAAGTGTAAGCCAAATAATATTTTAAACTTTGATCTTTCTATCGCATGTAATTCAGATGTCCCTTCCAATATCTACTAGATAAACAGTCAGAATTATCTTGGGCCTTATTTGATATACGAATGTCTGAGAAAGTTACGTATCTTATTTCTTCAAATTATCGAAATATTTTAAGACGTTTTAGAAATGATTTATAAGTGTTACGAAATTAGACATTTTGTGGCGTAAAGATGTTAAATTATAAATTTGCAGGTAAGTTTTATCTTATCATCTTATATTTCGGCTGTTAACTTACTGCAGAACAGAGTTTGTCTAATCAACCAATAGAAGTATAGAAATCGCTGACTGCAGAGATAAGCAAGCGTAAACAAGTCTGATGATTATTTATTATCTGTAAGTTAGTTTAAAATTGGAATAAGTGTTAATGGGTAACATCTTTTCGTTAAAATTTTAAGTCCCCGTATTTTGATAAACTCCTATTATTTATAGTAGAAAAACAATTTATTTGCATAGTATTTCTCCGCAGTTTGCCTGCATTTTAAAAATAATATTTCAAGTATAATGTTTCATTCAAGTTTATTGATTCTGCCAAAATATTTCACGGTGGCAACAGCATTCATATGTGGAAAATTCTGTATGCATTTAGCACGTGATGATGAATTAAATTTGTTATAAATCTGCACATTAAAATCACAAGGCCTGGAAAGAAACAAAATGAGATGCTTATATATTTATGAAAGCCTATTTAATCTATTTAAAAAAGCATTGTTTGTATTTTTTGTAGAGCATGTAAACATATTACTGCATATATATATATATATATATATATATATATATATATATTTTGCATGTAGGAGGTAATATATTGCTGCAACTGTTTGGAACTTTTTCAGAGATTATTTATTATTAAACACTTTCGCGTTAATATTTCAAGAAGAATATTTATGTGTATTGTAGGTGGCTAGACAGTTTAAGGAGTTTACTTGTAAAAAATTTCTGAAGGGTAAATACGTTTAATAACACTAACGAATTCATAGTTATGAATTGCTTTAGTGCTATAATTTACTAGTTATAATTATGAGTGCTATAACTCACTAGTCATAATAATGAATTGCGTCAGTGGTATAATTTACTAGCCAGGAAATTTAAAGAGAAAAATAAGTTTATACTTATTTTTAATTTTTTTGATTAGTGAATCAAATCATCGGATTCAATTTATTATAACATATGTTGTTGAAAATCGCCTATTCATGCAGTTTGATATAACGGCTGAATCTACTGTTTTTAGTTATAAAACTCATTTAAAATATAATTATATAGTACTTTGTTTAATATAAAAATAGAAAGTTGTAATTATTGTCCTCTTGTGCCGTATTTCTCATGATTTTCAGAAAACGCAATTTGATTATGAACATTTTTATTTATACCATTACTTCAAAAGTCTCTATTGCTATTCGAAGAGTTTTCGTAAATTTGAAAAACTGTGATATGAGAGGACATATTTACAGAACAATGTTTTTCGTTAACTTTTAACGATGTCCAGTCGTTAGGTACTAGCAAAAACACTTGAGATCTGGGAGAATTTTTTAAAAAATTTATTCAGCTTAGTTAAAAAAAATATATTATTTGATGCTTGTGAGAAACAGTTAATTCTTAAGTTGGTAACACTAATTTTATTTTTGAGTTTATTCAGTAATAACTTTAATTCTTTTTGTCAACTAATAATTTTATCTTGAAGAGTATTTTAAGTGAAATTCTATCATACAATTTTGTTGCTCATATCGAAAGGAGAATTGAAACCTTCAATCAAAATACATTACTCATTTGCTCAAAAATATGATCTAGAAAGCAACTAATCTGTGGCATTCACGAGAAATTTCTATTATCACTTCCATATTATAACTGTCACTGTCAAATAAATATGCTTCATTAAAGGCTTTTTGTGTCGTTCAGTATTGCATTTCAGTGAAGTATTTTAATCTTCCTTTCAGTAACTTTGACAGTAACATGCAATTCTTTTTTAAATTTCTTTAAACAAAGGAATTCATACATAGCGTTCTTTTCCTGTAATGCTTTTGTTTTATTATACACAGTAAAAATTTTTAAAATGTAAAAATAATATTACTTCTATAGCACCTGCATTAGGTGTCCTTTAAACAAAAAGACGAAAATGGAAACTCAGCTCAGGATTTTGAAGAACATAAAATGAATACTATAAATATATTTCATCTGTAATTAGTGTATTGGTGTAAGTACGGAAGAATACTTACTATGCTCAATTCCTGTCTTCATTATTGCAGAATTTTACATTAGTGAAACATGAGATACATAAATTCCCTTTGCGAGACACTTGTTAGTTAAACATGAGCAGATCGTATTTATTGGTCGATATTTAAATTTTAATTGAAATAATAAAAAATCTGATGTGTACATCACATGACTTCCTTGTACGGAATATTAAATTATACACATGTTTTCTGCGTTTCATTTAAAGTCATTGAATTGAATTAAATGTACTTCGTCGATAGCACGTAAATCACAATAGAATAAATGCACTCTTTAAAATTCACTATATTTATTTACCATAGCGATACTCTGGCGCTAGGTTCACTTAACAGCGTTGTATCTCGTTCGTTTTGTAACACAGAATGCACAAAAATTATAGCATTTGAAGAATTAGCTAATCATTGCCACCTGTTCCATTAAAATACTATAATAAATCTAAAATGATGTATAAAGGAAATTAAACAAATAAAAACGAAACTTTTTTCACAGACGCTTCAGCGCCGCTTACCTAATGCGCATGTGCTACTCTGTTCGAGACAGACTGGTGACACTATTTGCTGCTAATACGAAACACTTATTTCCTCGAATTTCATTATAGATATATTTCTCATTCAAATAATTCAGTTCTCACTTCGCGGAAGACGAAAATACATAAAAACTCAAAATACCTCCATTAAAAATTGAAAGAAGAAGATATAGAAAAGATATTGAAAGATATAGAAAACATAAAATTCCGCTGGGAGGCTCTCGAACATCCCCCTTGCAGCTCGGATCTAGAGATCCGACGATAATGAGGTCCAAGCTGCCGTTGAAAATTGGTTCCACACCTAACCCGAAGCTACTTCACCGAAGGTATCCATCGTCTCCTTGACTGCTAGGACACTTGTTTCAACCTACAAAGTGACTTTCTCTAGCCTATCTGTTATTTTTGTATTATTTCTTTCTTTTGTATACTAATTCATATTAATATCATTAAACCATTTCTCAAACCGACTGTAGTGCCACATTTCATAATGAATGACCCTTATATATTTATATACCTTTGGTTTGAACCAAAAGGTGAGGTGCACAACTACATGTTATAGGAGTCCTATATACAAAGTTTCAACGTTCAGAGGCTACTCGTTTGAGTTATGAGAGATACATACATACATAGACACGTATGTATGGACGTACGTACAAGACGACAAAAAAAAAAAAATCTTCCGATTCCATTTTAAATTAGTTTTATAATTCGTTTGGGGAAAAAGGGTCCTTTATTTTGTCCTTACAAACAGATGTCACGCCAGAACATAGTTCAATTGCATTCGATAGCGGTCAAAATGGATATTTTTGTTGAAATATGATGAATGAAAAAAATGAAATTTTTCGTGATTACAATACTTCCTTTACTTCGTACAAGGAAGTAAAAATAATATCAAATAAAGATACTTTTTGCATTTCTACAAATTTAACTTTTATTAAATGTTTTGAACATGCGTTTCCAGTGATTTAAATTTCAAGCATATTTAATTTATTCGTATTTGTATTTTAGAGCAACGATAATACTCTTAATTTAACCGCATATACTTATTAACCTTCTTCATTTCAAAACTTTAGACTGTTTTAACTTTAAATCCATATACTATATATTTTACATTAGAAATATATATTTTTTATTTAGCAATATGACGTTTGTTGGTATTTTTTTTTAATTCTTTTTCACGAATGAAACTCATTGCAACGCATATGCATTAATCAATATTTTATTTTTAATATTGCTGTAGTTATACACAAGTTAACTCATGCAACAATTTTACCCAAATTTCTCTTCTTTTGCAAGAGAATTTATTTAATCGAATGAGCACAATTTAAAGCTATTTAAACCGTCAGAACATTTATCCATTAAACCAGAATTTATGAAGCAAGAAAAATATTGCTTAACTTTTGAAAGCATTATAATGCACTTAATCTCATTCACGATTAGTTTGCCTTCAATATCGTTACAAATATCGAACAATCCATCCAAATTAAGCTCTTCCAAATCTGCAAAACATTGAACGATGATTGTCATATCCTGATATCAAAGCTTTAGATATCAGCTAAGGATATTTATGCAATTATAATACTTGTATTAAAATACAAGTACCGTCTATTGGCAAGCTCAGAAAATGAAATGATTTATAGATTTAGTTTTCACTTATAGATTTATAGATTCGCATTCAATAAGGCCATCCCTTTAAAATGAAATATAGAAGTGCTCTAAAAGTCAAAATCCAGATTCCCAACTGCTGATGTGAGGATTTTATTTAAATATATCTATTAAATAACAATCATGGTAACGTTTATATTAGTCCTAAATGATGACCATTCTTAGACTGTATGCAAATTTTAGACGAATGAAAAATTTGATAAACAAAATTAATTTTATGCGAACGTATATGCTCTACTGTTTAGGCTACACTTAAATATATATTTAAATTGAATTTTAGCATATCCACCCATCCAGACACACAGGAAAATACTCGCTATATTTTAACACTTCCAAAGAAAACGAATTATGCCTACGAAATAGATTTATGCTTGGTGAAGAGCTATACACTTGTTAAAAATATGAAATGAATTTGAAAAATATTTTATTTGCTTTAATTAACGTAACTCAAATAAATTCAAACGCTATTTTCCAGCAGATATATAGAAGCGTAAAAAATTCCAATTTTCTTAATATAAGTAATTAAATGAGTTGTTTGCTTAGCGGTTACGCCATAAAACATTAAAGCGATTTCACGCATTCACTTATTTCGTAAATATAAAATATTTCTAAAGCTTGTCAGAATTGCGATTGAAAGAAAGACTGGGACGTTTTTGTTTAATTCTTCGACTGTTGTAGATCGTCCAGCTTTCAGTTAGTCAGCTTTCAACATAAAACTTTTATGCTAATTATCTAATTATAGTATACCTTAATACGTTTACTTAGCAACCCTAGT